CACTCATCATTAGTTGATCAGATTTTGAATCAGCACTTAGTGACACATTTCTTCCAAGATCTTGGTGGGAATCTCAGTGTGGCCTCCTGGACTGCAGCAGGAATGTCACTGAATGAGACAGTTCTTTTCTAAGCTTGAATTGGCATCCAGGCATTCATAATCTTGATGCAGGTAGGGAGTCAGAGAGTGATGGTTAGGACTTGAAGAATAAATGTGATAGTGGGAAAGATAATGGTTTCAAGTCTTTCCAATGGTAGAATTATTAGGCCATGACAAGCCACCTCTGGACTTGCAGTGAAGAAAGGGGAAGTGAAGTCACTGGATATTAAGGATGCTCTTCATGTGTTGACACAGTCCTGTCTTAATTTCCTGTACTAGCTGGGTGTTCTGAAAGAGCCTAGAACCAAGAAAAATGGACTTAAAATGGCTGTGGTTCATGTCAGAATAACCATTTTTATCTTAAGCATTTAATGATGATAGTATTTTGTTTTGGGTTTTGGGAGTGAGGAGCTTTAGAGCTATTGTTTGCATCTGTAATCAGAAATCCATGAGACAGTTATAAGTAGTTATGATTTTAATCTCCCATTTAGATTAGTTCCTGAGTTTTTAACCAGTAGAAAAAACATGTTTACCCCATTCTTTGCTTTTATATTCTGATTAATGGAACTCATAATAAAAGGCGTGTAGCAAAAAAGTTGAACTCCATTTTAAACAACTGAATTTGCAATCAAACTATAATTTGTAAGTGAATTATCAGTCCCCAAGGAGCCTAGAAGTGGTTGGAAAAGTATGGAAGGCCAGCCATCTGAATCTGGGCAGAAACTGTAATCTGCTTTTCTCACTTTGTATTTCTTTCTACTTCTATACAGTCCCATGCTTCCATTGGAAGAACAAGTACATTGGTGCACCATCATATGCATAGGGCCTCTGGAGATCTTCTTCATAAGTAACAATAGGAAATGAGAAGAGCAGCCACTTATTTAAGTAGAGCCTATTTAATTATAGACATTGGAAAAAGCCCTAATTGTATTTTTTTTCCTGTTCTGTTACCCTGTGATCTCTCTCACCCTTTCTTTCCCTATGTCAAAGTCTTGCATGATGATATGTGAATTGATTACTTTTTCATAGTAGCATTCTTATGCTATAGATGGTTTGATAAAGGAGAAGCTTTACCTTGCTCTCTTCTGTATTAGCCATGTTGGCCCTCTCAGTATAGACAGGAGAACTTTCTATAGGGAAAAAAAAGAGAAACTTAGAAAAAAGTCTTTTTGCAAACACTCAAAATCTTTTATTCGTACCTCAGTACAATTATGTTATTAGACTCACCTCAGTTACTCCCTATTTCATATCTTTCTTCCAACAAACAGCCTTAAAAATGCAGTCAGTGTAGAAATACCTCATCAGCTACAAATAACAATAAATTCTTACGGCTGATTCAGGTGTACCAAAGAAGGGATAAAAGCTGTCCAACCAGGCCAGGAATTCCTGGCTCTTTAGGGTAGTTGGCCTGAGTCATACTGTTAACAACGGAAGATAACAGCCAAGGAGGTGGTGATTAAGCCCATCAATGGCAAATGAAAAAGGGGTACGATGCTGTTTTCCAAGGAAGGCCTTCCTTTTGTGCCTTGCTAAAATCTAGGATAATTTATACTTATCCTAGACTAAGGGCATTTTAAAACAGTTCTAGAAAAGGGAATTAAAGAGGGCACGTATTGAATGGAGCACTGGGTGTTACATGCAAGCAATGAATCATGGAACACTACATCAAAAACTAATGATGTAATGTATGGTGACTAACATAGCATAATAAAATAAAATTTAAAAAAAAGGAAATTAAAAAAGAAAACACATACCATGGTCATATGGAACTACAACCAAGGACCTGGAGGTAGGCAATGGTTGGGGGCCTTTAGTGTAACAGCTTGAAATATATTTTCAGCCTATCTAACTACAGAGCTATAGAACATTGGTTGTTTAAGTAGCCAATACTCTGACATTGTTTTTGCTGATAGCTCCTGACTGACCCTCCAGAATCAGAACCCAGCCTGCTGTCTGCCCTGGGAAGCTGACCTGGACGGATTCCTTCTACACGCTGTTGTCTTCCCCCTGACTTCCAGTTGGAGTGGAGAGCAGGGAGAGGGAGGGGCAAAATCACATATTTATTCTTCCAGCTCCTTCTTTGTAAGGTCGCTGTGGTCTGTCTGTGTCCTTCAAGTAAAAGTCACTCTCCCTACAAGGCATTTGATTTTACATGACTCTCTCCTCTTGGGTTTTGAGAACTGCACCCTCTCCTTGTCCCTTCCAGTTTAGATTTGCTAGCAAATCAGCTGCTCCCAGCTCTGGGGAAATGAACTATCTTCTGTGCTCCCCCTTGTACAGTTGTGAGTGTGCCAGGTGTTTTCTGTTGGGACTTAACTTTTGCACACTTCTAATACAGAAATTAAACTGTCATTCTGGAGCAGTATGTAGGGCCCCTCTGTCCTATAATTTTTGAACCCGAATCTAGTCACAAGCATCATTATATGAGGTCAGAGGTTGCTTTTAGGGGACAAACTAGACTTGCCTGTGATTTCCCATATTTTTCTACTTCTGGCCAGCTAAGGGACAGGAGCAACCAGTAATAAGCAAGACTAGCCTGCCTATTAGTATAAACAATCACAGGGTAAAACTGGTGAAACTCTTGCTCATTGTCACGCTTAATATCTTACTTTCAATAAAGTTGTCTGCTATGACCAAATCCCCTAACTTCGTCAGGGGCAAAAGGTGATTATCAGTCAGAGGAAGGGACATAGGATCTATCTCAACCTCCCAGGACTCTTAGGTTTCTCAGATTATGGAATAAGAGAGAGCAGCTGGGTCACCTTAAGTAGTATACATAAGTCTGTTTCATGCACCTAACTTCTTGGATTCCAGTTTCCTGGTCTATAAAATGTGGAAATAAGTACATCTAAGTTTTTCCTAGATTTAATTCTGTCAGTACAAGTCAAGTCTTCTAAGAAGTCCTGTGACCATAGCAGCTTAATGTATCATTTTAAATTACCTGTAAGTAACCCAAGTTTGTTGCAGAAAATCTAGAAAAAGTGTTTTAAAAATGCGACAAGGATTAAAATAAATTGGCCCATAAAAGACAAAGCAGTAGCAGCATAGACAAAGCTCAAAGAAAGAGAAAAGAGAGTGCAGGGACTAAAGCAAGTCTAGACATACGGACAAAGTCTTTCCAAAGGCACCCATTTTTAAAGTTTGGGCTTATTTCTTTTGAGCTATTTTTCAGTGCGAGATAATTTTGGTAATTCTGTGTATTATTTTAGTGCTAAATTTAAATTTTTTCAGTGTGCTGCAATGTATGTGCTTGTATATGGCTTGTTACATCTTTGAACATTTAATTCAGGATACATTTGTTAGAAGTATAGTTAGCTGGCAATGTGGGAGCATTTTAAAGGATTTCTGATAAATTTTACAACTGACTGTCCAGAAAATTCAGACCTGTTTACATGCCGAACAGTTGTGTAGGGTTAGCTGCAGGTCATCCTTGATACACCTCTACCTGAACACCCAGACACAGAGCTCATATTCTCCATGAGATACCTACCTCTCCTGGAACACTTGTATCTTTTTAATATACAGAATATGCAAATTGCCAGGAAACCCAAAATCACCAAAGATGGAATAATTATCCACGTGGTTCTGCTTTGACTCTGTTCTAAATAAAATAAAAAGTCTATAAGCTGGAAGAAAAATTACCAAAGAACACATTTATGATTTTAAAACTAGTTATTTCTGCATTTATGAGCATAAATACCTTCCAGTCTCAATGTCTCTACTGTGGAAAACCTACATAAGCTGGAATATTAACCAATTTGGGGCTTGGTAGGGGGTGGGTATTGGGGGAAATAAAAGGTTGCAAACTTGAGAAGCAATGAGTCTATTATGCATTGTGAGTTTCTCTTGTTTTATATTGTAAAGAGTTAACACACAGTTACAAAGGAATAATTATGACTACAGAATAACCTCAGCCCAGCATTCTCCTTGGAGGATGAAGAGAGAGCGGAGTGTACCCCTAGTTTGGAGAAGACAGGGGCAAAGAGGAACAGGGTAAGTGCAGAGGCGATCAGTGGAGTAGAGAAGTCAGCGCCTTGAGTGAGAGGTGACAGGCAAACACCAGGATAATAGAGTGCTTTTGATGTTCCTCAGAATCACTGGAGGAACCGGGGTTTTTCCAGCATCTTTGTTGGAACTATAATTGTTGTAATTAGGATTAAAGGAAGTAGGACCCCAGAAGGCAGAAACTTGGAGACTTTGAATTACTCAAGTCAGAATCTGCTGATCTTGTGATCTACATTCTGCCACAGAGTAGGGGCAAGCATTAGAGCACACAGGCCAATTCAAGGTGAAAAAGTGTTTATAGCTATTTTTTTTAATATAACAGATGTCCATTTTTATGAACATACTCTTTATTAATAAAATAATGTTCTGCAACCACTAAAACATTAATCTCTACACATATCTGTGTCATTCTGAAATTGTATACCCATATAAAGAGTGAGCAATTAAGTAGAAATGTTGACTTTCGAAAGTGTTTTCATACACATAGTTTTCCGGGACCCCTGGGTGGCTCAGTTGGTTAAGCCTCTGCCTTTGGCTTAGGTCATGATCCCAGGGTCCTGGGATCAACTCCCAGCATCAGGCTCCTTGTTCAGCAGGGAGTCTATTTCTCCCTCTTCCTCCTCTACCTGCCGTTCCCCCTGCTTGTGCTCGTTCTCTGACAAATAAATAAAATCTTAAAAAGAAAAAAAAAAAACATGCATACTTTTCCTCCTGAAGAAAGTCCTGCAAGGTATAGCATTTTCTTACTTTGTCACCCTCACTTCCTCCACTGTAAAGAGATTGGCTCAACATCACATAGTGATTCAGCAGCAAAATTTAGCAAGAATTATTCAATTCCATTCAATTCCATGCAACCTTTATTAAGTAGATCTAGACTCTAGGAATCATAACTCCCTTTACCCCCCAATCTGGGCTTCCTTTTCAAATGCTGTAGTATCTCCTGGGTAAGATAACAAGTAGAATATTGTGATTCAGAAGAGAAAACCAAATTTCTTTGAAAGAGTGATTATCGAAGGGGGAGACAAACCATGAGAGATTATGGACTCTGAGAAACAAACTGAGGTTTCTAGAGGGGAGGAGGGAGGGGGGGTTTAGCCTGGTGATGGGTATTAAAGAGGGCACGTACTGCATGGAGCACTGGGTGTTATATGCAAACAATGAATCATGGAACACTACAACAAAACTAATGATATAATGTATGGTGATTAACATAACATTAAATAAATAAATAAATAAATGAATAAATAAAGAGAGTGATTATCTAGGATACTAGCAGTGCTTACCCTCTTTGCTGCCCTGCCCTCTTTCTGCTGCTCCTGCTACACACCTCTTTCTGGGGGGAGAGTATGGGCAGACCCTCCTCCAGTCGCAACAGTCTAGGGTTTACTTGGGAATGGGAGGTTGTGAAAAGCTTCTTTTGTTAGAGATAGAATAGTCCTGATGCTTTGCTTTGTGTAAACTAAAAATTAAATCTCTGGTTAGAAAGATGGGTCATACGTGATCTTCAGAACCATATCTTCCTGTCTTTTTTTTTTCTACATTCCAAAATGAATCCAACATGAGGCAAAATTTGAAAAATAGAATGTAAGCTTATCTATATTTTACATGAAACTAACATTCTTATTTGGGAGAAAAGTAGGAGCTTCAATTGCGCCCGTTTTCAGCACTCTCAAAATGACAGCTATGCACAAAGGGAGTATCATCCCTCAGTGTCTAGAAGCTTCTATTCAAAGACCACTTGACCTAAGGGCAACTCTGTGTTCTTATCTCTAAATCTCACTACATAAAATCACTGAACCTCCAGATCGGTTATTCCTAATTTTCACAACTAAAATAATAGAAATGTTTTTAAAATATATGTTTTACTGACTCAAATATCTTTAATAGAGAGCTGCCACTATGTCCCATGATATCCAATTGATAGCTTAAGGGTAAGGGGATCAACCAGCCCACCTAGAAAATCAGCTTCATGGGTACATGTGCCATGACTCCATAGAGAGTGAACTAGAAATATTTTAGAGTTTTGGCCATTAGCTATCACTAGAGGTAAAAAAGGAGCTGAATCAGTGTACACGTAGTGCTTCCAATGTCCGTTGGTGACTGTTTCCACCAAGTTCACAGACCATGCTTCCCTAGCATCTACCAGAGTCCCAATTCTAACTTCTTACTGTGCCTGAAGCCTCAATTCCCCAGACCCTAAAGCATGTGTTAGGCATAGCAGTAAACAGGAATTGAGGATAATTAGGCTATAGAGTCACCAAATCATGTAGGTTCCTCCTTCATTTCTGAAACCTTGAAACTATGAAAAGGAAATCTTATGGAAATAATTTTTTTTTTCAATGCAGGACTCTTATGTGTTTGAAAGAAGGAGGTTGACTACATTTTGATCAAAAATATCCCTGTAGATAACGTTTTCAGAAATACTAATCAGAATTATTCTTTAAATGCCAACCTAATTTCCCTGTTTGATATTCATAATCTCTACTGCTATAGCCAAAACCAATTATCCAACCCCACTTGTAACTCACCTACTACATGCAGTGCTTGGATGGTGAGGAAAGTATATTTGCTTGAAGAAATATTGCATAAGTATTCCCCACTGTCTGAAAGAATAAGATCCTTCAAAGTCAAGGAAAAGTCAGTCTGGTTTATTCGTTCTTTGTTCCAGGATACTCGGGGTCCATAGATAGTTGTATTTCGTGAGGAGCTCAGAAAGTAAGCCAGGATGGAGGAGGTCTCTTTTTCTACTTTGGACCAAGTGACTTTGAAGCCTTGATCCAGTAAAAAAATACTGTTATTAAGTTCACATGAGAGTGAAAAATTTTCACTTTGCATTTTATGAAGGTCATCTAAAAACAGGATAGAAAAGGAAACAATGAAAATACAATTTCAAATGAATTTTCCAAGTTACACTTAGCAATGCTTCGAGAAATACCTTTGGAAATGCGTTTCTTCCAACCTCTGACATAGCACCACCATTTTAACACTTCCCATGATTAGGTTTAGACCTTCAAGGAGGTCTACGCCTGGACTAGCTAGTGAGGTGACATTACTGGTTTCTAACTCCTACACCTGAGAGTGAGTACTCAAGAATGCTGCTACCAGTTACCAGGCTTTCAAACTCAATGTTCTTCTTCTGTTGACCCCTCAAATGCTGGTATTCCCCAGGACCCTCCGCTTGCCACTCTGTCTACTCTCTAGTAGTCTCTATTGTCTCAACTGCTTCTTAATCACTTTCTGCACAAAGTCTCTTTTCCTGCACATTACAAGTATATTTCCAAGTGTGTACAGGTAAGCCTCCACGGGACTGAGCTCTATGAGAGTAGGGACTCTGCTGGATATTCTTGGATATTCTATACCCAACCACAGTGAACAGAATTAATTGCTCCCTTTATATGCTATTCTCCTAGTTTAATTTTTACATGTTTGTACTAGATGCTGTGGATCCAGAAATGAATAAGCATCCACATTCATTTTTTTTTAAGATTTTTATTTGAGAGAGTGAGAGCAAGAGGGAGAGAGTGAGAGAATGAGAGAACGAGAGAGAGAGAGCTCACAAGAAAGGGGAGGGGCAGAGGGAGAGGGAGAAGCAGACTTCCCATTGAGCAGGGAGCCTGATGAGGGACTCAGTCCCACAACCCTGGGATCATGACCTGAGCCAAAAGCAGACGCTTAAATGACTGAGCCACTCAGGCACCTCAAGTGTACACATTCTTAAGTTCACAGACTGAGAGCAACAAACTTGGCGTATAATAAATCCTCAACAAGACAACATAGCACTGAGCCTAAGGAACCGTGGATGCTTCTGGATACTCAATTCTGAATAAACATGAGAAAATATGATTTTCCAAAGAAAATATCTACAATTTAATATGAATATTTTCAATACTTTCTCATGTTTCCATTGCCACCTGGAAAACTGAACATTGGCAACCATGCCTTTGACACCGAGATTATGTAAAGGTGGAGAATCACTCATAATTTAGGGTCTTCTTGGCAAGCACTTTGAGAATATGAAACTCAGGAAAAGAAGGCCAAAAAGGATAGCTGACCTCCACTTTCTCCATATAATGGGGATTTACTAAAACATTTTTCTTTGCTTCTAAAATATAAAACATTTTTCCGTGAAGTTTGGATAAGATGTCAAACTAATTTTTTCCTCTTAATCTTAAATAGTAGGTGATGTAGAGATTGATCAAAATTTCAGTTTGTTCAAATAAATGAGTATTAAAAACTGCTCTTGCTATGATAGAATTGTTGATAAAGTTTAATGGGCTAATACTATGCAAAGAGAATAAACAGAAGCAATAATACTAATGAATTTTTGTTTAGTTGAAAGACTGGCAAGCATCACAGATTGTGGATCTAATAGGCAAGCTTTCTTCTCACATCTTTTAAAGTACAATTCAGGTAGAAAATTCTATTTAGAAGATGAATCAGAGAAATATGATAATATTCATGAATAGATTTGCTACTTTCCATTCCACATGTTTTCCTTCAACTCAAACACCTAGCAGGTAGGAATTACTTCCATTTTGCCAGTGAGGAGCTAGTGCTCAGAGTCAGTAAATATTAGACTTGGGACTATAGTCTTGGTCTTCTCACCGGTGAGGATGCATTTTCTTTCTTTTGTGTTCCATTCTTTCCCTATAAATCCATCCTCATTTCCTTCCAACCTCTGACATAGCACGTGCACACAGAAAGCCCAATGGAACCTACCTTTCATTGCCCATCCCCCTGTCCATGTTTGTTTCAGTAATGAGTTTTCAATAGCACATTCATAAGATAAATTTGATCCTGTAATATTTATTATACTGTCAACATAAAAAGGACCCGAAGATTCAATTTTTTCCATATTGCTTTCAGAGATGGATGTATTGTCAGTTTTCCATGTGATAAGTGGATGAGGATAACTTAACACACTACATATTAAGAAGCTGTCTGTGTTCCTCTTTTCATACTTCATCACAGGTGTGACGAAAGCTAGGGGTGAGAAAGAAGGACAATGAGGGACTGTCATTAGCTTCTTTTTAAGCCATCTGTGCACAACACTTATTATTTTAATACCTATGAAATGAAAAGCTAAGCTTTATGAGCAAAAATTGGCAGTTACTAAAGGAAAAACAAAAACTATAGAAACTTAGGATACATACTGTGGTTATCACAAGTGAAAAAAAAAAAGCATGCATGAATTCTTAGCAATTAGCAATCTTAATTCTCTAGTAAGAGTTCTAAAAAGAAATCTAATGACCTCGCTGAGCAACCAATATAAACTAGAGCTCATGAAACACTCTGTACTCTCCAGGTAATAACTCAGAACCTTTTTGATTCTTTGTTTACACATGATCTTTAGATTTCTGAGTTAAAGTCTGAAGCAGCTAAGTGAGACAGAAAAAGAAGAAACAAGTGCTGTATAAAATAACCCACTAGAAAATGCCCCTCCCCCATAAATAAATAAGTTATAAAGTTAATACAGACAGAAAGCATATATTAAAATTAAACAAATTAAGCCAATAATTCAACAATTTTAAAGAATATCATATGGGCAGAAATTAAGATTGATAACATTAGGTGCTGCTAAGACTAAGGGGAAAATGGATACTATTTTGCTGCTGGTCAAAGTAATGTATTAAAATTTTCTGATACTTTTCTTTCTGATCATTTCCCACGATTAAATACAAGAATGCTCAGCACAACATTTGTTGTATAAATCATTGGAAATACCTGAATATCTACCAGTGGAAGAATGGGTATATCAATTATAACATGTCTATACTATGAGATACCATGCATTTAAAAAATGAGGTAGATTTGTATGTATTGACTTGGAAGGAAGCCCATAGCATATTCAATTAAGAAAAAGGTATTTCAGAAAAACACGGAATGATATCATTGCTATGTTTTATAAAACCTTACATGCTTGCTTACCTCCCACCTTTAGTACCACTTTATTTATGATTTTTCTAGATGTTGTTCCCACATAGCATACATAAATTCCTTCATCCAGAAGGCTTAATCTTCTTAAAGATAAAGAGGCATTCCCATTGTGAATTTCACTGTGGAAGAGGGATGTCCTGTTTGTGTATCTGCAATCTTGATTTTCCAAATAGTCACTGTCTTTGTAGTATGAGTAAACATAGTTATCTTGATTCTTCCAGTGAATTACAACTTCAGGCTCACTTTCAAATGAGCAAGGGAGAATTATGTCTTCTCCAAGTCTTCCAATGACTATTTGCTCTTCCTCAGTAGTAACAAGATTGGGGGAAGCTAAAAAGAATGTATCTAAAAATCAAGAGCAGGTATGAAGAGAATTAATGATGGGTTATTTATTTAGGGCTCTATCAGCACCATCTAGCAGAACTATCCTGGGTCAGCAGCCTGATCACTAACAGACCACAGCATCAAGAACCCTGGCTAATCTGATTACTAGAAAAAAAGCCACAAAGCTTGTGGTAGAGTTTCTGAAATTGTATATTATGCATACAAAAGACTCCTGTTGATTTTTATTCCTGAACACATTCACTTTTAACATCTACTACAACAATAACAAATTAGTTTATCCAGTTAACTAGACTCAGCAGGCTCTAAAAGATTAGAACAAATTTAACTTGGTTTCATTAGGAAATATTTGGAGTATGTAGAAGACAATGCTTGATTCAGGAATCTGTTAGAAATATGCAGACATTAGCTGCAAGCAAGGGAACACCTGAGCAGGAGGAATCCAAAAGGGGAAGTGAAGTGACTCATTTATTTTGGCTTGAGGACACCTCTCGGGATATCCTACGAGTCAACTGAAATATAGTAAAGGAATATTATTGTGGATATAAATGTGGAAGTATCAATCATCCTGAGATATATACACACATATATACACATACATATATATTTATAATTTATACATATACTTTACTATTAACTTCAGAAATTAATTTTGAAAAGCAGATGGATTCATCACAATCAAGATTTTTTTTAAATTTTATTTTATTATGTTAGTCACCATACATCATTAGTTTTTGATGTAGCACAATCAAGATTTTTGCAAAGAAAATATATTTAGCCATTTCATAATCCTTGAAGGCAACATCCAGCTTCTTTGACCAATTCCCAAAACATTTTAAGTAGATTATGTACCCTATCTATGGATTTTAGAATATTAGAACTGGAAAGGGTCTTATCTTACAGATGATGGAGTAAACTCCTTTGGACCTTGGCCAAGACCACCCAAGATGGGAGAATTGAGTGCTTATGTGGCCTTATCACAGTCTTTTCCCTCTGCATCCTCTTCTGGGGCTCTTTCCACTCTGCTATGTCCCACTTCTCTCCCTCAGAGAGATTTAGTTTATTTCTGTACAAAGAACTATAGGGATGCAGTATTATGCTGAGAGAAAGACACAGAAAGGTGGGGGGGGGGGGAGGAGTGGTTTTTGTCAATCTCCCTAATTGCTCTACTAAACACCTCTAATATTCCTTTAGATAATTAAAAATGCTCATCACAGGACCAAGCAAAGTGGATAATGCTTTCTGTTAAGTGTTAAGTACCAAGCTTACACTTGAAAAAAAAAAATCAATCACCAATCAATCAAACTTGTCTTTCTAGTGATTTTATATCTGGTAGCAGATGACAGATTAGAAAAAGCCTTAGAGTAGACAGGAGAAAATGTCATTTTTAATCTTCATGCAGGACCTCCAGTCTGTTTTCCTGTTTCTCATTAAGTGATCTTTTAGAAAAGTTCACAACGCTATGGTTACAGAGGACATCGCCACCTTGCATTGTGTGCTCATGTTCCTAGCTCCTGATACAAACAACTAACACCTGGGTGTATTATAAAGGAACTCACCATGAAATCCACTTAGAGATGGTACAAGAATGAGGATGATGGACAGCACCGCCTGTGCCTTCATGTCTTGTGGAGGTCATACTAGCTATACTATCAAAGACAAGCAAAATATGCATATTATGTATGGATTTCAAATGCAAACAGGAATTGGAAAAGAGTGTCTGACTATAGGAGATCAGTTAAATAAACTACAGTACATCCACACAAATCATTCTTCTGCAGCCACTAAAGATGATACTGTAATAGATGGTTCAATGGCATGGAAAGAAGTTCTTAATGTTATAGAAGAAAAACCAGAATACAATGTAACTTGTAAGTAGCATAGTCTCCTTTTAAAAGCACACACATTTCTGCACATCAGAGAAAGACATGACATATGACTAAATATACACTAGGATGTTAACTCTGTGGAGCAGAGTTCACATCTAAAGCAGTGTCTACTATATAGTAGGTATTGAAAAATGGCTGTTGAATGAATAAAGATTTGGTATATGTTCAACAGTGGTTCTCTGGATAACAGTTTGTCTTTATTTTTAAAGCTTTCCACAATGGACATGTATTGCTTTTATAGTAAATATACTAAAAACAAATTCAGTTAAATATTAACACCAATTATGTTAACTATGGTGTTATTTATAATCACACACAAAAACAAAACAAAATCTGGAAATATATTCTCATATATTATAATAATAGTACAAATCATAAATCAGTCATTAAAATGATTCACAATGAGTGTTTCAAAAACTAAAACACAGAAGAAAATATAGATGGCAAACTGTATACATACAATATAATTCCAAGTAAGTAAAATATAACTGCTTTTCTCTGGTGATGGGATTATAGATAATTTTTACTCTTTTTAAGGGATAGCATATAATTAGTTTTAAATACCTCTAAAAGAAAATTTTAAAGAAATAATTTGGGATCCTCACTATTAAAAAGTTGTGTCATAAATTTATTGTAGGATATGATATTTAAGAATAATTAAGACTATTCTAAAAAATACATCTGTGTCCTTCATCACAGCAAAATTAAACGTGATAGAATAATTTATAGTTTCATCTTTATCTTTTAAATACTAGAAGAAAATAATTGTATGTATGGCCTTAGAAGAGGGCCTTTTTTAACAGGACTATACATTTTTTATAATAGATATGTCTACATAAAAATTGGAAAAGCAATAAGAACATATTAAAATACAAATAATCAGGGAATACATTTGCAGTATGACAAAGTTATCACTCCAGTAGCTCAGAGCAATAGATAAAATGGCAAAGCAAAAACTTGTAAAATAGTATTAGTTATGAAAATAAGACCTTTATATTTTTTCTTATTGATGTATTTGCATGTATAATGTATGAAAAGATGTATCACAATGATTATTTCTGAATAGTAAGATTACAAGTAATCATTAAACCCATTTTCTGCTATGAACATATGTAAATATTTAACAACACTTTTACCTTTGTAGGCTACTTAAAAAAACAAACAAACAAGCAAAAAAAGCATTTTCTTTCCAAGCAATAATTAATTCAGATCCACCTTGCTTAATGTAACTTTGGGGCATTCCATATCCACGGTCTTACTATATAGGTTCACTTTCTCATTATTCATAATGATTCCAATATTTGCTACCTTTCCTTGAAAATTCCAATGTTTCTTTTCCCCCACGTCTCTTTCAGCTGATGCTTTGCCTTCATTAATGACAATTATGGATACTTCCTCACCCCCACCACCAATTCAACCAACCCATTAACAGCTGTGTCTACTCTTTCTGTCTCCCCTTCTCCTCTTACAGAAAGCCAACCCTTTCACTTTTGCCCTGCTTCCCATATTTTTTACATTCAAGAAATTTATCCCTGCAAATATATCCCTTCCTCTAACGTATCATCAGTTTCTCTCTCTCCACTAGATCAAGCCCCTGAGTATATATGCCCCAATAAGTCCTATCTTAAGAACATGGAAAAAGCCCCACCATATTCTCCTCTGGCTCTTGATTAGCTGTCTACCTATGTCTTAGCTCTATTAACTTCTTGAAATAATTGTCCAAAGAGCCACCCCCATTTTCCTTTTACTAATTCCCCTCAATCCACTCTGGCCTCTATCTGTGTGACAGGTCATAAACTGCCCTTGTCAATGTTTCCAAGAACTTCCACATTGCCAAAACAATAGATATGATTTGTCCTCATCCTATCCAATCTCACAGCAGAATTCAACATAATTGGTCCTTACCTCTCTGATGGAAGATTCTTCTCTTGTTTCCAGCCCAACTTGTTCTCCTGGTTTTTTCTTCCTCACTGCTGTTCCCCCTCTGCTTGCCCTATTTATGTGGAAATAAGGGAAGTTCTCAAGTCTTATACTTTCTCTGGACTCTCTCCCTAGGGGAGTTCTTCTATTCCATGGCTCTGAATGTCATTCTGTACGTGAAGGATTCTGAAACTTATCTATTGAGTCCAGGTCATATATTCAATTGTCCATCTGATTGGTTCACTTAGATGCCTTATAGGCATCAGAGAATCAACATGAACCCTTGGTTTTTACCTCATTCCCTTTACCATTTCTCCCTGCCTTACCCCAAACAAGACAACAAAATTACCCAGAATTACTCCCAGTCATTTTTGTTAATGGCTTAGATAAAGCTCCATTATTTGTGCATTCACCAACTCTACCATTACTGTCTCTTCCAAAGCCACTATCATCTCTTACCTGAAATATCTAAAATAGATATCTGACTGGTTACTGCTTATAGTCCACTATCAATGCAGCAGCCAAGAGTCATATTTTTAAATGTAAATCATTCTATGACATCCTCCTACTGAAATCCTTCCAGGGGCTTCCCACCATATTCAGACCCAAATTTTTAACCCTAGCCTACCAAGCTTTGCATACTCTGGCTCCTGGTCCTACCTGCCCCTCCAGCCTCTTCCATAAAAGCCCACAACATACATTCTAAAAAAGCTTGTGAACGCAAGTGCTCCAATTCAAGGGTCAGCATGAGCTGAAAATTAGGCCCTTGAGAACTACTTAATTCATGTCTTTTGAATAAAATGACAAATTACAGTAACCCATTTATCATCTAAGATAAAGTACTATGAATAAAAAAACATACTCAACCTCTTCTACACAAATGCTTGATTTAGCTCTGTTGAAATAATTTCAGCATTCAGCTAAGTGAGGCAGTTAATGAGTATTTGGCCCTATTTTTATGCCCAAGTTTTATTTTTAGACATTTATTTTCTTCCCCAAAAGCAGCAGAAATCTTCCACCTTGAATTAAACTGAAGTTACCCAAGTTGCAATCAGCACCCTTACAAAAGGGTTCAAATGTTAGAAGCATCTTGTTCTGGTACATTTTGGCTGGACTCCAGATGTGGGGGAGAAAAGCAGAGAAGCAGCCTCTGTAATGGAACATGGCAAAAAGAAATCCAGATGCTAAGACTAATCAGAAGAGAAAAATTGAGGCCATTCTACAAGCATAAAATAGGGAGAACAGAACAACTATCCCTGGACCCATCTTGACAGCTACAGACCACACTGACTGCAGCCATCAACACTAACTGTGACAATAATGACAAACTTCATTTGTGTTCAGGCCAGACTCTCTAGCCTGCCCATCACTAACCCTCAAGACTAGACCTAGCCTCATAACTGCTGGCCTAAATATGACCGGAGCTACATCGCAAGTCAATTTGTTTTTGAAAACCAAGGATGTTTCACATCACTTGCATCACGCCAGTTCCCTTTATGAGTTCCTTCAGGAAAATCAGCTTCCAGGGTGTACATTCTCCTCTGCATTGTTTTGAAGTTCAGTGCCTCACCAGAGTGATCGTGGCTCTGAGCCAATTCATGAAAGTCGTAACAAAAGGAAAGTCTTTGTAGCATCATAGGGATTTCTCCTAAGCATCCACTTAGATTTTAATAGGATTGACATTGTTAAGATAGAAAAAAAGAACAAAAGAACAATTTTAGGATCACCCTCTCTTTACTCAAAAAAATTTCCCCTGATGTTTTACAATGGCAGTCCACCAGTTGAGGATTCATACATTGGGTTGAAACTTTGACTCTCTAGGCGTACTGTCTTTGTTTCAGGCTCTGTTTGGTTTTTCATTTCGCTGTTGTTGTGGATGGAAGAGTAAGTCTTTGTAACTGGGTTAAGGTACACACTAATATATTTTTGGGGAGGTTTAGGGGTGCAGCTGCAGAGCAGGAAGAATGAAGGAAAAGGGGAAGTGAAACAAGGAAGAAGGGAAAGTAGATACGAGGTGGTGGTTGCCTTGGCCATAGCTTTAGAACAGAAAACAGAACCACTTGCTCAGATCTCCAGGCATCTTCTACAGAACCACAAATCCATCAGAGAAAAAGAACCAAAGGAATCCATTTACAGGTTTTCCCTGTGACACTTAGCTCCCATGTTCCTTCTAGTTGTGCACCTGACCCCTCCGCCATAGAGGACAGCCACGAAGGAAGCCAGAGGTCATGTCTCACAGTATGGTATCCTGAGTCTCGAAATACAGGGCAGGGGAACCACCACCTCTGTGAGTTTCCCCTGGAGACTCATGTCTGGACTGTGGTTGTTGAAGCTCACACTGTGGTGGGTAAAATGGTGGACATGCTGAAGTTGGCCTCCCCAGGGAAGGTGGGGTCAGTGCCTGACATTTAGAAATGGGGCAGTGGTGTTGGGGCAGGGGCCCTCTCTGTCCAACCAGTTGAGGGCCCAGGAAACAGGTAAAGCCAAGAAAGTCTAAGAAGGGTCATAAATTGGGCCCAATAAAAGCAGCTATTTTAGAAACACCACACATTTAATATCTGATATTTTGTATATTAGCAGACCATTAATCTCCTGCACGGATCCCCTGTGATCAGTTTCACTAGTTCAGGTTTCATGCACACATTGCTCAGCTACTGCCACCTTTTTCAGGGGATTGCCCTTAGGTGATGAAAGCTGTGATTCTGGGAGTTATACTCCTTCTCTACTCCTGACCCCAGTCAGCAGTAGCTTCAAGGCAAGAAACATTTTGTGGTCCAGAGCCCCTCCCAGGGAATGAGGCTGAGACTTGACCTG